GCACGCACACGGATTAGAGGTTGCTCAAAGTCCGGCTCAGAGTCCGGCTCAGGCTCAGGGCCCTCGCGCGGCAGAGTGTCCGCCTGACCCTGGCTTCGGTGCCGGTGCCACCGCCACGGAAGCTCTTTGACTTTGAGGTCGGCCCCGCCCGGCTCGTCTTCCGAGTCCTCCTCGTCGTCACCGCCCAGCATCTTGCTCTTCTTCCGCGCGAGCGCCCGGCCCTTGCCCTTGTCCATGTACTTTGGCTGCTGCGGGTCCTGTGGTGGCGAAGGGGGGAGCAGCGGGAGCGCAGACAGGGCTTGTTTCGGCGTCGCCCGCGACTGCCGTTCCGAGGAGGGAGAGTTCGGGCGCGCTTCGGACCTGGTGGAAGCGGACGTGGCGTTGTCAGAGGTGCTCACAGACCAGAGGTCGTCTTTGCCCGGTAGCATAGCTGTGGGTATCTTCACACCATTCTTCACGGGCTTCGGCGCCGCGCCGGACTTGGCAGAGACAGAGGGTGAAAAATCAGGTGCTCTGAGTTTCGCGGAAGGACCTTTTGTCGAAGCCGAGGCGTCCCAGTCCATCCCGTCGTCCGAGTGCTCCGAGAGCGGCGAGAGCGCCCTTGACCTGGTCCTCTTCAGGCCGCCCTCCTTACCTGCAGAGAATCCGAACCCGAAAAGGCCCTTCGCGTTCGCCGACTTTGACCTCGTCAGGCCTTGTTCTTTCGTGTGTGCCGCGCCCTTGGAGACCGGCTGAGCAGCCGGAAGGGCCGCTTCGTCGAAGAGAACCTTGAAGGGCTTCTTCCCCGCGAGGGGCTTGGCAGGCGTGTCCTCGATGACGGCCTCTCCGCGCCGGACGGGCCCGTCGTCATCGCCGTCGTCGCTCGGGTCTGCGTCGTCGAAACGGAGCGCGGGCTGGACGGGCAGCGTGTCCGCGACGCGGGGCCGCTTCTCCTTGACGGGCGAGGGCGAGACGAGCTCGCCACGGAGGCGCTTGCGTGCGCGTGTGACCGCGTTCTTGCCGTGCGCGAGGATGGCATCGTTGGACGAAGAGGCTGCGGACGGGGGATGTTCGGTGGCATTCGTAAAGGAAGCAGACGGGTTGCGCTGCGGCGTATGATGAGGTGGCGGAGGAGAGGTGGCCTGGGGCGAGGTGGCCTTGTTGGGCTGGACGATAAGCGGAAAGGGATCCTCGTCGAGTTCTTGTATGGGCGGCTCGGGGGCTCGCCGTGGCTCACCACGGGGCGGTTTGGGCTTTGTGGGAGTCTTGAACGGGTTTGGGCGTGGGACTGACGCGAGGAGAGAGGGGATGGGCTGTGCGCTAGGGTCAGGGGAGAAGGCGCGTTGCCTGGCGTTCCTGTTCTTGACTGGCGAGAAGGGATTGGACGTGGCGGCAGGCGGGTCGACCTTGACCGGACGTGGCTTGGACCTGGCGGTGGACTGGAGAGCCGATGACGTGGAAGGACGTGGCTGATCTCGTGTGTAGTCGGAGCCGGTGGCTGGCTGGGGTTGCTTGGACAGCCTCTTGTAGAGCTTGTACTTTTCGGCTGTGGGTGCAGGAGCGGGACGGTGTTGAGCGGGGGCAGGGGGAGACGGGGGAGGACTGACCGATGTGAGGGAGGTCTTTTATCTCCTGGACGGACGGGTCGCGTCCGTGCTGCTGTTTGAAGAGCCTCTCCCATGACTTGATCTCTGCCCGGAGCGAGGACACGTCCATCGGCGTCGTGGGGCAGAGAGCGGGCAAACGCTGCAGACGCGCCTGGCACGCCCACGTGGAGAGTCACGTGCACGCAGTCACCCAACACAATGAGGCCTGCCCTTGGCAGTAGCCCAAGCACGGTAGTCTCTTCTCGCCTGATGCCTGCTCTTCTCACCCCGTAACAACCACCCCCGCTCGTCGTCGCCCCCCTCGCCCTCGTCGGGCGGTCCAGCGACGACCCATGTACCGCCAGCCCTCCGAACATGCCTATTCTCGGCCGTCACAGCACCAGGGCGCCATGATCCATGACGAACATTCTCACATAGCCCAAACCTTCTATGCCGCATATCCTCACCAGGCCGCCCAGGCCGCCCATCCTCTTCACCCCTCCGACCTCGATCCTTCCTACTACCAGCCTGCGCCCCCGCCAAAGCAGCAGGCCATCTACGGCCCTCCGCTCTCCCAGCAGCAGCACTCCCAACAGATGTCCTCCCAACGCCCTATCCGTTCCAGGCCCATTCCCCCCTCCCACTTCAAGGATGATCCTGCCTTCTCGCCAGACCCTCGCACAAATCCTCTGGCCTACACCACCTTCGCTATGAACTCCAGGGAGGAGATCGTCCCGACTGCAGGCAATCAGGCGAGTCTCTTCTCCCTTTCTCTTCCACTCGAACCTTCTTATCTCTCTCAACTTTATCCTCTCGCTTCTGCTTGACCAAATATCTCGCTGACAATGTTCACAATCTTTAGGAATACTCCTCTCTTCCAAATCCTTACGACTCCGCTCCAAAGCGCGACCCTTCTGCAATTTACGCCTACCCATCGGCGCCTCCTGTCCCTCAGACTCCAGCGGCTTCCCAGTACTATGCACCGTCGATTCACCTCTATCCGAGCGCAGGCAGTGAACATAGCCGCCCTCCATCCGAGGTCGACTCTTTCTACGCCTTCGCCGCATCCTTCCCTTCCCCCAATGGCAGTTACCACATGGACCCGCGTGCTTCTGCCGACGCCTCGAGTGTCCATCTCGCATATGACGATGGCGAGGAGCGAGTCGCCCCGCCCGAGCCGTCCCCGACGACGCGCCAGTCGTACTACAGCAAGTACGTCGAGGGCCCAGGATCCCTATCCCGGAAGAGCATTCAAGCGGCAAACCGCGAAAGGCGAGGCACGC